TCCCCCCCCCCCCCCCCCCCCCCCCAAAAAAAAAAAAAAAAAAAAGGAAAGGAGATGGAGACTGCCTCTTACCTGTGGCAGCATTTTGAGTCTTCCAAGAGCTATTGATTCTATTCTTCTCCACCCACACCCGAAATTCATACAAGGATCCGGGTTCAAGTCCATCCACTGTGACACTGGTATTTATTGTGTTTTGGGTCTTGTTTATGTTACCTTCTCCAGTGCAATGGACGCAGTAGGTGTAGTTCTGCAGGTCTGGGCCTTCGGGGACCTCCCAGCTCAGGGTGATGGAGCTGTTGGTCTGACCCTCCACGCTCAGATTTCTAACTGGGTTGGGAGCTGAAAATTGGGACAAAAGGAGAAATTAGTTGTGGCTTCAGGTCCTCAACTTTTCCAGCCCTTCCTTAACTGTCAGACCCAGTAGGTGTAGGCGGGACAGCCCAGACTCAGGCTACCCAAATTGAGATGTGCCATAATTATAAAATACACACCAAGTTTTGAAGAATTGGTATGAAATTAAGGATGGCAAATATCTCATTAATCCTCTTTTATATTGATTACATTACATGCAATTTTAATGACCTTCAATTTAAATGATGGTGTTTTGCACCTACTGGGCTACTTAAAATATTTCATGATAATTTCTTTCAACTGTTTCTTTTTACTTATTTTGATGTGGCTGATAGAAAATCGAAATTTTCATGTACGACTTCTTTTATATTTCTATTGGACTATAGAACCTGCCATGTTCTCCTGTCAGTTCTCAACCACCCCCTATCACTTGCCTTTAAAAAAGAAAATGAAATAGTGGCTGCCTCTTACCTGTGGAAGTATTGAAAATCTCCTTAGAGCTATATGATCCATTTGTTTCCACCCACACGTAAAATGTATATGAAGACCCAGGTTCAAGTCCATCCACTGTGATACTGGTATTTGTGGTGTTTCGGGTCTCAGTTTTGACACCATCTCCAGTGCAACAGACCCAGTAGGTGTAGTTCTTAAGTTCTGAGCCCTCAGGGGCCTCCCAGCGTAAGGTGATGGAACTGGTTGTTTGAGCCTCCACACTCAGGTTTCTGACTGGGTTGGGGTCTGAAAAATAGAAGAAGGGTCTATTGCAAACAAGAGAATAGATAGCACTGTCCCTCCCAGCACCTTGAGCTCTTACCCCAAGTCCAGAAATAACCTCTCCCATAGACCCTGCCAGGGACCACTAGACCCTCCAGGGAGACCACCCAAGAGGTACATGGGAGTTGAGGTCCCACCTCTTTGTGTGGGCAGTGAATTCAGGCAGGAAGCACTCACCGGCTGCGCTGCCCCCTGTCCAGCTACACAGGCCCTGGAAAGAGCCCAGAAAAGAAAGAATCAGAGTCTTATTCTCTCCTTTCTTGACCCAGGTGAGATTGTGGGGCTGGGCAGGGCCAGCCAGTGACTCTCCCAGTCCTCTGTCCCCCGCCCCCATGAATCACCCCTGCCTGAGGAGAGGAGGGACCAGTGTGGAGCTGGGCTATGACAAAGGTCACCTCTATATCTGTCTTTTATGGGGGAGAGGAGGGCTGAGTATGGCAGGAGCGGGGCTCCAGGAACCCAGGAGCTGGGGTTGGCTCATCCCACAAGGCCCGGAGATAAACTTAATGGTTTCATTTCCCAAACATAACAGCCTTGGAAAACTGGGGGCTGGGAAGCAATCAACAAACTGGGAAGGGAGGAAAATACTGAGGCTGCAGCCAAGAGCCCAGACACCGGCGTGTGAGGGAGGAGGATACTGGGGCCTGACTCCTGTGTCTGAAAGAGGAGGGGCTGAGGGGCTGGACTCCTGGGTCTAAAGGAGGAAGAGCTGGAGTTTCTGGACTCTTGGGTCTGAGAAAAGAGGGGGCTGGGGGTCTAGACTCCTGTCTGAGGGAGGAAGTGCTGGGGACCCGATCCTGGGTGTTTGTGAGCATAGCTGAATCTTGTCTGAAGGCAGTGTTTACTGTCACACCAGACACTGCCCTATCTCAAAATCCAGGTATAAGACTCCTCCCCATCCCCACACCCACAACTAGAAGCCCCTTTCTTTTTCCAGGGAACCACCAGCCCCTACTTCCTCAGTACCTGCGTTCAGGGGCCCCAGCTCCCTTACCCCTCAGACTGAGGAGTCCGATCCCTAGACCGTCCCTCCCTTGGAACCCTGGCTGCTGCCCAGGGAGAGGGAGCACTTACCAGTAGCACCAGGCTGCCCCAGGCCCTGAGGCCCCAACCAGCCACAGCCATGTCTCCAGAGACTGTTGAGGGACACAGGAGTCCCAGGCCTGGTCCCTCCACCTGCTGAACTTTAAACTCAAGGATTTCCCTTTCCCAGCCTCTTGGTGAAGCTAGAGGCCAGGGCGGGAAGGGGAGGAGGAGGAAGTGGAGGTTTCAAGCCTGAGGAGTCAGCTCCCAGCCCTGCCCTGTTCCTCCCCTCTTTCCACACCTCCGCTCCTTGCCCTAACACTGGAGACTCCTCTGGTCTCTTCTCCAACCCCACTTGGAATCCTCAGCCCCATCTCACCCCACTTTGTCCCATGAAAGCACCCTAAGCACCTTCTGCACTCAGTTGAAGTAAAATATTAGGCACTGCTTCCCACTGCTGTATGAACCCACAATGCAGATCTCAGATGGTGAGAGCAGGCAAGAGCTGAGAGAAAGACCATCTGACTCCCTCTTCTCACAGGTGGATGATTATGTGCCACAACTAGCCTAGGGTCTACATCTCATGTCCCTCCTGTCTATTTGATTCAGGCTCTGGTCCCTTCCCCTGTCCCTGCCTCTCATAAACCCTTGCAGCTCCCACAAAATGAGCCCAGGAGGCTCCCACCTCTTGGCTTTTGCATACACTGTCTCCCCCACCAGGTGCACCTGCCTACTTTTCCCCAACAGTCTCATTCCTACTCCTCCATTAGAATTCCGCTCAGAAATTACCCATAGTGGGTCAGACGCCTTCATATCCCCGTCGGACCCTGTGCTGTATCTATCACACACAAGACTGTTTGCATTTCCATATCCACCTTGCCACATTCTACCTGTGACCTTGAGCAAGTGACTTAAATTCATAGTGACTCAGAGTCTTCATCGATAAAAAAATAGGCACAGCCTCTTGGAAATATGCTGGGAGGAATAAGTGAGTTATTACGTAGAAAATCCTAGCATAATGCCTGGCCCCCCTTCTGTTTCTTTCTTTATTCTTTCTTTCTTTTTTTTTTTTGCTGCTGGCCAGCAGTATCGGAACCTGGCCTGTTGTAAATGCTCAATAAATATTAGCTATATTTATTTTTGGTCATCCCTAGACTTCCAGTGTCCCAAAGGGGCCCGATACCCCGAACTTTTCAGGGCATTGTTGTTGACCTACTGATTATGTGCACACACGGGCTGCCATAATTTCACATATAGTGTGGAAATTAACAATGTGCGGGACTGGCTGGTTAGCTCAATTGGTCAGAGTGTGGTGTTATAACACCAAGGTCAAGGGTTCGGATCCCCATACTGGCCAGCTGCCAGAAAAGGAAAAAAAAAAAAACCCACAAAACAACAACAACAAAATGATAATGTGAGTAGTGGAGTCTTATGCCTGCATTTGCAGTTTACCACTAATCACCTGTGTGATCTTGAATAATTCATTCAACCTCTCTGTGTCTTTGTTTTCTTGTTTTTTGTTTGTTTTGTTTTATTTTTCAGCTGGCCTGTACAGGAATCGAACCCTGGATCTTGGCGTTATCAGCACCATGCTCTAACCAATTGAGAAAACTGGCCTGCCTCCCTTGTTTTTAAAATGAATTTTTAATACTATCTGCCTCGGATACAAAGCAGCAAATGGCTTCTGCCTAGTTGTGGAGCCATAGATATTTCAGGATCCCCGATTTGAAAAAGGGTTGCCCATTAGAGCTCAGTGGAGTTTGATGGAAAGACGCCGGGGCATGTGTGGGTTTAACTGTTACTATGTATCAGAGGGTTTGGAGAACGCTGATCCACTAGGGAAGTAATTTCCTGATTGATGACAAATAACTCAGTTATGCTCACCTCCCTCCTGCTAAAAAGTTATGCAGTGAATTATGTAGTGTGCAGTGTATTGTAAAATGCTTAATAAAAGGGAAGTAATTTCCTGATTGATGACAAATAACTCAGTTATGCTCACCTCCTTCCTGCTAAAAAGTTATGCAGTGAATTATGTAGTGTGCAGTGTATTGTAAAATGCTTAATAAAAATAAAATTAAAAAGACGAAAAAAATACCATCTACCTAAAAGGTTGTGCTGAGTCATACTGAAGCAATGTAGATGCATTTGTTGTTTATTACCACGTAACAAATTACTCCAAGCTTAGTGGCTTTTACAACAGTAAACATTTATTATTTCTCAGGTTCTGCATGCTAGGAATTCAATAATGGCCGGGCTGGATGCTTCTGGCTGAGGATTTTTCAAGAGGCTGCTGTGAGATGTTGGTTGGGACTGCATTCATCTGAAGGTTGGACTGAGAAGTTGGAGGTTCCACTTCCATGATGCTTCACTCATGTGGCTGCTGGCAGGAGGCTTCAGTTCTTCACCACGTGGACCTTGCCATGGTGTATCTTGGGCATGCTAAAACATGGCTACCAGTTTCCCCCAGAGTGGATGATTCAAAAGAGAGAGCAAGGCAGAAGTCACGTTTATCTTTTATCAGAAGGCACAAACCATCATTTCTGGAGTATCTCATTCCTTAAGTGGTCACCCTATTCAATGTGGAGGGGACTACACAAAAGTGTGAAAAACAAGAAGTGAGGGTCATTGAGGACCATCTTGGATGGAGTCTGGTACCGTGATATATTTGCACACAGTAGTCATTCAGTGCATGTTTGCCATTTTTATCATTTTCTTTAACACCAACCCCCATTTGTCAAGCACCTGTTAGAAAGGGGAAGGAAGGAGAGGGTACTACCACTTACTGCGCAGCTCTGGGAACATCTCAGTTCTTTGACATTTTCCCCACCGCAGAAGGGGGAGCTGGGGCCACAAGAGGACATGACCTGTGAATTCAACTTCTGCCTCCAAGGCTTGATTTTGCTTCCCCCTGAGATGTGTGGATTCATTTGTCTGCACACTTTAACCCTAAAACATTCTTGAACACCCCACAGTTGGAATTATAGTAATTTCAATTTTTTCCTTATGCTTTTCTCTCATTGAAAAATTTCAGGACTGGCCAGTTAGCTCAATTGGTTACAGTGCAGTGTAATAACACCAAGGTCAAGGGTTCAGATCCCCATACCAGCCAGCCACCAATAAATAAAATAAAATAAAGTTTTCATTAGATGAGCACATTTTATACTCAGAAAATTCGTGTTATTTAAAGAGATATTGATTTTAGTTACATAAGTCTTTTCTCACACCACTGTTTTGGGGAAGTCAGTTTCTCTCTCAGGGCCTCAATTTTCCCATCTGTATAACTAAGGGTTTGGTTGCAATAAATTCCCTTTCTTTCTTTTTTTGGTTGCAATAAGTTCTCTCTCAATGTGCAGTGGATCCCATCCCTTGCCAAATGGTAAAGTTTCTGTTTCAACCTTTCTCTGTTTCTCTCCTATATCTTTGAAAATCTCTCTGTCTCTTTCTCTTCCTCCCCACCCCGTTTCCATTCTTTCCTCCCTCTGTCCTCTCTGGATCTTCCTCAACTTGTAAACATGCTCACCTTCCCAATCTAAAAAAAAGAAAAAAAATCACCTCTGTACCTGCCCTCTTAACCCAATTTCAAAACCCAAATTCTCCACAGAGTTGCCTACACTCCCTGGCTTCAGAATTCCTAATGGAGCAGCTTGCCCATGCACAGGGAAGACACACTAGGAATAAAACATGTAGGATCTTTCTTCTCCCTTTTCCCCCTTAATAACAGAAATCCCTAGGGAGTCATGAATGGGAGCCCCAATTAGCACAACCCTCCCAACTTAAGTTCTTTTTGGCCTCTCTTACCTTATGAGGAAAAGCACCAAGAAAGTGTTATTAGATCTATATAATGATAGTTATTTCTAGGTCTGGTGAGCAGGAGGAACAAGACTTAAGTCACCACAGCGGGGCACCACAATGTCTTAGTTCATGTTCCCAGGAAGCAGACACTGAGACAAGGATTCAGATGCTCGTGATTTTTTTGAGTTTCCTTTTAGAAAGGAGTGAGGGGCAGAGGAAAGAGCTAAGTGAGGATACAACTTCAGACTGAGCCCACGACGGCGACAAAGGTCTGAACTCTGTACTCCCTACATCTTTGTCTATGGACTTCCCCCAGGGTTGAGAGTTTCATGGCCTCCCTGGTAGGACATTTTCTGTTCAGTCATGAACAATTCTCCGGGGCCGGCCCGTGGCTCACTTGGGAGAGTGCGGTGCTGATAACACCAAGGCCCCGGGTTCGGATCCCACATAGGGATGGCCGGTTGGCTCACTGGGTGAGCGTGGTGCTGACAACACCAAGCCAAGGGTTAAGATCCCCTTACCAGTCATCTTTTTTTTAAAAAAAAAAAAAGAACAATTCTCGGGCCGGCCCGGTGGCGCACTGCTGCAGTGCGCCGCTTGGGAGTGCGGCGGCGCTCCCACCGAGGGTTCGGATCCCACATACAGACCGGTTCCCGCTCACTGGCTGAGCGAGGTGCGGGCGCGACACTGAGGGTTGTGATCCCGTTGCCGGTCCCGGTCCGGTACGGGCACGACACTGAGGGTTGCGATCCGTTGCCGGACACGAAAAAAGACAAAAAGGAAAAAAAAAAAAAAAAGAACAATTCTCTTGAGAATGGGACATCTGCGAGCAGCCGACACTCCCAGGAGCTGGAGGATGAGTGTGCTGTGCCTCTAAAGAGACCTGGGTGGGGCACCAACACAGCACCCATACGGCCTGACACTAGCTACCGCTTATGAGCCAGTTCTCATATTTGGAACCCCTTCAATGTAGGATACGCTTTTCTTCCAGGAAGGAGTCCTAATATTAATCAAAGTATATACTGTAAATATTCCTTCTAGCTGTTTCTAGAAGCCAATTTTCAGGGTGACTGGGGTTTAGGGAAAGGGAAAGTAGGATTACTAGACCCTGGCTCTGCATCAGTACTAATCTGTAGGGATACAGAAGTTCACTGTGGACCGTGGTCTGACGGGTGCTTGGGGTAATTGACCTAAATGGAGGATTGACCTAAGACTGATCATACACTGGGTCGTGAACTTTAAAAACCCTGTGTGGTTCCTTCCTCAGTTCTTTTGAGTGCAGTTGAAATAGACATACTCATAAAATGGCA